GCCCAGTCCCTGCTGAAGAGAAACATCCCCACAACATAATGTTGCCACCACCATGCTTCACAGTAGGTATGGTGTGTTTTTGATGGTGTGCTGTTTGGTTGCCGCCAAACATAACGCTTGGAGCTCAGTCCAAAAAGTTCAATCTTAGTCTCATCTGACCATAGAAACTTTTTCCACATAGCAACAGAATCTTCCAGGTGTTTTTGCATAGCAAAAACGAGACTGAGTGTGGCACCTTTTCAGAAAAGGTTTCTTTCTTGCCACTCTGCCATAGAGGCCAGCTTTGTGTAAAGTTTGTGAGATTGTTGTCACATGCACAGACCGACCTGTCACAGCCAGAAAGTCTTGTAAGTCCTTCAAAGTTGCCATTGGCCTCTTGGTAGCTTCTCTGATCAATGTCCTCCTGGCTCGTTCATCCACGGACGGCCTGATCTAGGCAAAGTGTTGGTTGTGCCATACGCTTTCCACTTCTTAATAATGCTGTGAACAGTACTCGGAGGGATAGCTAAAGCCTTCGAAATCTTTTTGTAGCCTTCATCTTAACTTGTGCCTTCCTACAACTTTATCTCGGAGGTCTTTTGAAAGCATTTTTCCAACCATGGTGATTTTTTTGCAGTACCATGCACTGCTAGTAGTGGAATCCTCTAGAAACAGCTGGTTTTATTCTGAAGTAATCTAAATCACTTCAATTGATGTCAGGTGGGGGACAATTATCCTTGTGTTTGATCTGGAAGTTGATTGGTTGCACCTGAGCAGGTTTATAATGGTATACTCCAAGGGGCTGATCACTTAACCAAACTGGTTATTTCACTTATACATTTAAAATAATTGTCCAAACATTTTGCTTTGATTATGAGGGTCATAATGTGTACATAGAGCTCAAAAAGGTAAGATTTAATTTATTTTAAATTCCAGGGTGTAATGTGACAAAAGGTTAAGATGTTCACAGGGTATGATGACTATAAGCACTTAATACTGTATCTTGAGCAGAAAGTAGATTTTTAATATGCATGTTTCATAAAGTAAAACCCACTGGAGTTTCATGTAACAAGGTTTTTTTTCAGAGCAGACATACTTTTTGAAAGGGACTATTACATTCAATCGAAACTATACAAAAACAAAGTTGTCAAACCATGCATATTATATGAAAAGAAAGTACTCAGAAAATGACATGTGTTAACAATAGATATCTGTTTATTGGTTCCCAGGATTCTTGCTAGAAATTGAGCATACAACGCTCAAAAGAAAAAAGAAAGCATTACAGTCCAGATCTCAGACATCATAGCCAATGATGCCTCCTTTGCCGATGCACTCCCCAATGTAGAACCACATCATTACTTCAGTGGCCACCAGTCCGTTCCTAAAAGCATCCTGTGAGGAAACAAAGATTGCATTAGATTCACTTCCAGAGAAATGTATCAAGCAAAATGCTGAATAATCCACTGATGACACGTAGTCATTGTTTTCCTTGTGGAATGATAAAATCATGTTTTTATTTTCTACAGGACTCAAAATGACAAGAGAATTATACTGATAGATACACCTCATCGTATCCTCACTGAACATTTTATAAGGAAAAAACATATCTTCAAAAGAAATCAACCTGCACAACCTACTTGTTTTCTCTCAATGAATGAAGCAGGCCTAAAATCGCACATACAAACTGCCAATTCAACTTGAAATGCTTTTAAATGGGCTTTCTAATGAAATGTATATATTATTATTTTTATATTCCAAGTTTCAAGGTAGTTGTCATCCTTTAGACAACAATTTAAGTAAAGCAGAAATATTGAGTCTTAGGCTCTGTACAACAATGCTTATACAAATAGACAGGAAAACTACTCAAGACAAAGCAAAATGAGAATCAGAGACATCAAATAGTGCAAATTCAACAAAAGGACTAAAATATAAACATTATTAAAACTAACTTAATTGTTACGTGTGATAAAAATTGCAATTGAATGAACTAAATGTTAGCAGTAATCTAGTAATGTATATGCATAATGAGAAGTAGTAAAGCAAGTAAGTAATAATTAAAAACAGACATACAGAGATGTGAAAGGACTAAACAGAATACACCGTTTTTAAAAAGAAGGTAAAGAAAAAGTATTGTGGTGGATCACAAACAGTGGAGCTCATAACATGTCACCATTGTTTTCATAACAAAAACTTGATAGATATTCAAGCAGTCATTCAGAATATATCTTTACATAAGGTCTGGCAATAACACACCCACCTTCACTGTAAGTTGACCGAGACGTCCTGACTGGAAGCCCTTCAGGAGGTTTGCGGCCCCCTCGATGGCCTTGGGGATCTCCGCAGGGGAAGGGGGGGTAAGCTCAACACGGGCATAGTACCAGAACTTTGCTAGCCGAGGTTTTGTGTAGTTGAGGGAGGCTGTAAGAGAAGAAATGCTGTAAGTACAAGTCTGGTGAGCGCAGCTTTCATTAGCTACGGCTAAACCTAGCTCTGGCTCCATAGCTCCACACACACACACACAGCTGGATAGCTTTAGCCACTTAGCTAACTGATACACGGCTAATACTTATTTAGTGTAAACAATACAAGTCACGCGTGCAAGCTAGCTGAAGTTGTACTTTATAAAAACAAAGAAAAGCAATTCAAATTCTCAACTCTGTGTTTTCTGCAATAAATGTTAGCTGGCTCATGTCACATCCATTTAATTCATTTGATATCTGGGTCTTGACAGCGTCGGCCGAGCTGCATTGTAAATAAAGATTATACTAACTACAATTCACTCCCCCATTATTGGATGCACGTTATGGTTATTGACATAAGAAATGCACTTACCGCCTATCAGGGTTGGTACTTTGGAGACCAGTTTCTGCACTGCCTGTGCCATGTTGAAGCGTTTGTCGATGCTAACTCTCTCCCTTAATCTGTTAGCCGACTGAATGTCACCTCCAGCAGAAGGACCCGTGACGTCTGCTGACCAAACAACTGCCTGAACAGAAATAGCCTGCGTGTCTGTATGTCTTATACTACAAATTACTTCATTGACTTGTATGGTGTAAGTTATAATATTTTAACGTTTTAAAAAGTTCAACATTATTTATTTTCACTTTCTAAAAATGTCTAAAGTACGTTACAGTTTAGTTACTGTATTCAATAGTAAACAGCTGCATTGTTTGCCATACGGCCACTAGGGGGTGCAGTAGGCTGTGTCTTGTATGAATGTGACATGCGTACATTCAAATAGATAAAGATAACAGATATGGATAATAAATTAGAGACATTTAAATAGGAATACAAGTGTTTAGGTGGGCAACATTTTATTATCATAGCTATCTAAGTTTCAATGGTTGGCTATTCACCTTGAAGATGGGAGACGTCATGTAATGAAAATGAATGAGATCCATTATGGGCACCATCTCCCGACTCAGAAATGTGTGTCTTTTTTTTATTATACATTTTCACATGGCCCATATATGTTTTTGTCTAATGTATTTTTTTATTACTGGCAGTTTAATATGGTAAATGGCTGTAGATTATTCAGAAACATAGGTAGGCCTAAACGTACAAAATGTACTATCAGTCTCATTCTCAATAAACATACACTCTCTCTGCAAGAACAAACATTTAATAGGTATTGTTTAATAACATTTTAGTTAATACAGTTTCCGGTACTTTAAGCTGAGGTGGGAGAAGTACTCAGATCTTGTGCTTAAATAAAAATAGAAGTAGCCTTACAAAGTGTAGTAATACTCTGTTACAATTAAAAGTCCTGCATTCAAAATATTACTCAAGTAAAAGTACAAAAGTATTGGCGTCAAAATATACTTAAATGACCAAGAGTAAAGATAATCATTGTTATGATTATAATTATTGATGTTTAAATATGATTATCCCAGCTGGTAAAGGTGGAACTCATTTGAATTACTTAAAGTGGACCTATCATGCTATATTTGAATAATATAGTGTAGGACCATACATAACCATACCATATAAGGCATATTTATACTTACCAAATATATATACCAAACAGATCATGCATTTTAGCCATGCCTCATTTTGCTCAATTTGACAATTTCTAGCTCTGGACAGATTCAGTGAGAACAGCACCATCTACTGGCCTGACATATGTACTACAGCGTCTCCAGCGCTTTCGAACGGCAATGGCCGTGGCTGTCTCCTCCTGATTGGTGGAGTTGGCCTAATAGCCGTAGCGCCACCGTCCTGACGTCAGGATAGTGTTCAAATCTGGATCAGTTTGTATCAGATCTGTTGCAGCCCCTTTTTTAGAGATTTGGGTATGGAGGAAAATAGAGAGGGTTGTGTTTTCTGACACTTGGTGAGTTCCCTGGAACACCGGGGACACATATTCATGTATAAAAGACGTACAAAAGTGCATTTTGCATGATAGGTCCCGTTTAATTTACTGCTGGGTAGCATGTGAATTTAATCGCGGTGTAACTAAAGTCTTATTTAAGTGTTGATCACATATCATTATTCCATATCAGCAAAGTAACTAAAGGTACTACGTTAATGTCGTGGAGTAAAAATACAATATTTAATTCTGAATTGTAGTGTAAAAGTACAAAGTAGCATAAAATGGAAAGTACCTCAACATTGTACTTAAGTACAGACTTTGAATAAATACTTAGTTACTTTACACCACTGAGTTTAAGTCATGGAAGTATTTGAGATTGAGATCACAATTGACCATATATTTTCTGCATTATCAGTTATAGTACATTTGTAAACGTCATTTTTATATCATACACAATTACATATTGCAACATTTCTTCAACTGACACTCTTACTATATTTGGCTTATTTAAAAAAATATTTTTAATCTTTTAGTGTTCTTTGTGAAACCCTGGCATTAGAAAAAAGCATTTTTGACCAATATACAGTAATGCTGTTATTACCAATAATAAATATAACATATTTATAAGAAGAAAAATAATGTGACGAGTGTTTATAATAATATTAATAATCATACTATGTTATACAGTACAATCATTATTTTTGTTCAGCTCAGTTTGAAGTCTCTTCAGTAGACGTATGGGATGCAGAATATCTTCACAATAGGGTGAGTATCTTTGTCACTCACAGACATGATATTTCATTATTTTCTTCCTCCTGGTGAGATGCAAACAAGAAAATATGGTTAAAAAAGGTGGTCACTGATGACATTATAATTATGTGAAAAGGTTATGTCTAATAGTTATACTCACATTTCTTCACCTCACTGTCAGGGATGTCTCTTGTTGGTGTGTCAGTCTGCTTGCGCCTCATGTTAGTCTTATACATGACTAGTAAAGAAATAAAATGTCCTCCTTCTTTCACAAGCATAATCACGTCCTCCAGAGACTTATCTTCCACATTTTGTCCATCGACCTCCATCACAACATCACCCACGCACAGTCCAGCTCTCTGACCAGAGCCCCCAAAAGCCATCTAAAGGGGAAAAAAACATGTGACAAAATTAATTATATCAACAAGATCCTGACCTACATCCTTCTACCACTACTAAGTTGACAAAGTGCAGTGGCGGGAAGTGACTGAGAACATTTACTCAATACTGTAGTTAGGTATAATATTGAGGTACTTGTACTTACCTTGAGTACTTCCACTTTATTCTACTTTATACGTCTTCTTTGTTATATCTCAGGACATTTTTATGCTTTTTTGCACAACATTTATTTTAGACTCACAGTTCATTTCATAAAAAACGAACACACATATATGCTTATATGATACAATGCAATACCTTTCTACCAATCTACCCAGTAGTAAGTACAACGCATATAGAACTGGTTCCACTTTTATAAACTACACAACTAAATGTAAAAAAAAGAAACAGAAAAATATAACACTGTCAAAGAAGATATTCTGCATAATGACTGCTTTACCTTTAAGTAAAGAGGTGGGGAGTAACTAAGTACATTTAGTCAAGTACGATTTTGAGATACTTGTACTTTACTTGAGTATTTCCATTGTTTGCTACTTTGTACTTCTACCCCACTACTAAATCGTGTAACTTACTACATTTTTTGTATATCTTAAGTTACTTTGCAGATTTGGACTACACTTGGAGTTAATACACAAGCTACCCTGCAGTATACAAAGTCATTACAACTAGCTGCACCTTTTCCAGCTTTGATAACACTATAATGCATCAATAATTATAATCATAACATATAATACATATTATCCTGAAAAGGACCAATCTGCTTAATGAGTACTTTTACTTTGATACTTTAAATATATTTTGATGCCAGTACTTTTACTTGAGTAACCTTTTGAATGCAGGACCTTTACTTGTAACAGAGTATTCCTACACTCTGGTACTTCTACTTTTACTCAAGTACAAGATCTTGAGTACTTCTACCATCTCTGTTTAAGTATACATTGCTGAGATTTAGACTCTGATATTTATACTTTTACTTAAACAAAGGCTCTAAGAACCTCTTTCAACACTAACTAATGCAGCATTTGATCTTACCTGACTGATGAAGGTCCCAGGACCCTGTGGAACACTGTCCAGGTTAAAGCCAAACCCCAAAGGGCCTTTTCGGACGGAGCAGTGTCTGGGCTTACATGAGTCATCCATTTCCTTTTGTGGAGCCTGCTCTGCTGCAGAGGCTGATATGCTGCTCTCCTTTTCTCTCTCGACAGCAGCATCCTCACAGAAGAGAAGCGGGGATAGACCCAACTGCATACACAAAACAAAGGATATAAACTCACATTTTTCTTCTGCTTTTAAGATTAAAAGTGTACCAAGTGATGCCCACCTGGGTGTAAAACTCCAGCCCCACGAGAGTGATGGTGGTGAGAGATATCTGTTCTCCACTCTGTCTCACTCTGTCAACTATCTCCTCATGCTTCAATGACTCCACCACCTCCCCATTGACCTCCAGCAGCAGCTCTCCATCCTTCATACCTGCCTTCTCTGCAGGACTGCCACTCTCCATCGCACGCAGAACATGAGCTTGTATTCAAAAACAGATGTTAAAGTGAAAAAGTAAGTTCAGGAATGCCTGTGTGTGAATGTTGCCCTCTTTTATCCTCTCACATTTGCGTCCTGATGCTGCCTTCTCCAGCCGAAGCAGGAAGCCGTAGCCGTCGCCCTCTGACACCAGTTGGAGTCTTCTGGCTCTGTGAGGCAGGTTATGTGGAACAGCCATGGCGGGCAGAATGGGCCTCCTCTGACGCAGGTAGTTCTTCTCACTCTCACCGTCAATCACAAGGATGGTGATGTGATTGCCACATTTTTTTATCTACAGCAAAAACATTATTTTACTGCTAGACAAGGCTGGATGTAGTAATTGCTATGTTGAAATTGTAAGCATCTCTTGTAGGCATTATGTTTTAAAGGAATACATCATCTTTTGTATATCAATTACTCACACCATAGTTATCTGGCATGCCTCTACGGTGAACGAAGAATCGAGAATAGACTCGATGAATTGAAGTAAATGGAGGCAGTACATGTCTCGTTAATCCAATTTTATGCTCACTACTTCCCAAATACATGTATTTTGTTTAAGACAGGCCTAACAGGCGGGCAAAATAAAGCGCCCGTGCCCTAGCAATTGTGAAAAAATGCATTTGTTTAGAAAGTAGTAAGTATACAGTACGGTTCGATAAATGAGACATAGTTTATAACTCATACGTTTTGTGAGAGATTTGATGGATGTTTTGATATGGTTTTGCTGTTATTAGGCAGCCCCGATTTACAAAAATGAATCAAGACTTCTCTTATGTTTTTGGATTCTTCTTCCCCATGGAGGCATGCAAGACAATTTCTTTTGTAAAAAGTAATTGATGTACAAAAGATCATTTTGGGGGTGAAGTTGTTGTTTAGTTTTATTTGTTTCGTTTTTTCTCACAAGTTGATTATATAAACAGACTGTCTTACCATCCTGCTGAGTGCAGAGTGTGTGAGATCAGACACTGTTGCTCCGTCTATCCACACCAGGTGATCTCCTTTACACACCCCAGCCTTTTCCGCTGCACCTCCTGCTGCCAGGCTCACAGAGAAGCAACCTTTCTCTACAGAGCAGGAACAGGAGGAGCAGTTGAATAACACTGCACAGACTTCAACTCAACTGTTCGCTTAGTCATCAAACCCGGACGTTTTTTTTATCAGGACGGTGAGAGTTACCTTCCACGGGTGTGAAGTTGATGCCCAGACCTGAGGCTGGATCCCTGGTGATGTGGCAGAGTCTGGGTGGTCTGCAGCCCTCGCCCTTGTGCGCACTGACCAGACTTTGGAGGTCTTCACCTCGGGACAAAGCCTGCTCGTACTCCTCGCCATCCAACAATAATAAACATAACTGATTTCCACTGAGCCTTATCTTCCCAGCCACCTGATTCATAAAAAAAGAAGATAGTTAGAATCCCGTTAGGCTTGGAATAGGCTTCTAATAGTCCATCTTACCTCAGGGTGAGGGACGTCCTCCACAAAGCAGTTGTTGACTTCCAGAAGCCTGTCTCCATCTTTAAGGCCACTGAACCCTGCCACGCCTCCTGACACTACATTTCTGACGATGTGACCCTGGCGTCCCCTCTCCACCCGCAGATTAAAGCCGTAGGACTCCCCTTCCTCTCGTTTAAGAACACACAGACGTGGGCTGGGTGTGGACACAGAGTCTGAGCGGAAGGAGACAGAAAAGTGCATTAGAGCTGCTGGGGTAACAGAAGATACACAGAAATAAGTATGAAGGTTTATACCTGCATCTTCTATGGTGACCATCACTGGGTTGTCTATTCCCTCTTTTGGATTAAATGTAAATGTCCTGCAAAAAGAGAAATTAGAAACATTAGACTCAAGTTTTACTTACAAATATAAAAATCGACTAATATGATGGTGGGTTTTGGAAAAAAGGAAAAACTGTACATTTTCTTTCCTTGAAAGTCAATCAATCATTTTCAATTTTCACAACCTCACGTGTAATTATCATTACAACATTAATCAATGGACAACCTTATCTTGGGCCCAAAGTATAAAGATGACTTTGTTCCAAAAGTCATATAACACATTTTTTATTGTACGTACATACTAAACTTTAATGTGATACAGCAATTTTGGCAAGTCATGAATGTGTAGTTTTTAGGATGAATGTCCAACTGGCCTTACTATCTTATCATTATTTTTTGTTGTAATGGCAGTTTAGTGTCCATGTTTTTCTTAAGTTTAAAATGACAGTAACATGTATGAGGATTTTATAAAATATAAAAGTAGACTTACTCTGTTAACCGGATGATTTCCAGACCTTGAAAAACATATTGCATAATGAGTTTATTAGCTTTTGCAGAACAATATATAGGGAGAGACATTTCATAATCAGACATTTCTGTCATTATTTTTGAGTTACTATATTCATTTTGTATTCATTAACACAACACACACCAGATCAAATGTAGCATTGCAACACAAATCAACAAGTATTATTTGTCGCCTGTCAAATGATGGTATATTCATTTGAAGGTACAGCTCTGTAAAACGTCTGCGCTGTTGTGTCCACTAAACTGTTAGGCATCTGCATAACAGAAAGATTGGAGCGTCGGAAAACATATCTGGTGGCTTGATGTGGTAAGCACCATAAAACAGGGTTTGCTTTATGTAATTGTCCTTAGTCTTTGCCCTCTAAAAAAAGGGAAGGATTAAGAGGAAATCAAAAACCATTAAGATGTCAAATGAACATATAACCCATTATCAAAGGCACTGATAATATCAGGCAGTCATTCTTAAATGTTAGCGTGCATTAATGTAATTGCAGACAATTTAATAATCAGTACATGGGTTTAAAACAACAGAGATATATATATATATATAACAGAGTATAGATTGCATTATACATTTGTTTCCACTCTGACGATTTAATATTGATGGGGTCACTAAATTGAATCTGGTTTAATGTGAAATGTACATTGAAATATCATATAGAAAAACCTTCTTGGTCAATTTCTGTTTCTATTTTGAGAAAATACTTCTACTTCTTAAACTTAGTAAGCTAAACTTAATAAAGCCTCCCATTGCATTGTGACGTTGCTAAAAACACGGCTGGTTTTCTGAGCTCATAAAGAGTTTACCTTTTAGATACATTTGGTTCTTACAGGACAACTACACTACCAAAATATAAAATGATATAAATTAGTAGAAATGAATAAAACCTTCAACATCTGCGGCAGTAAAATAACACACACATATAAATACTTCAGTATTATTAATCCAATAACAATTTACTTCTCATGTTTTCTAATTTCTAGTATTGAATTAGGACTTTGAATCCAAGATTATCCCTTATATTAGAGTGGTTCTACAGTGTGGTATTCGAACATTTGCTTAAGTAGATGTTGTGAATGTGCTTCAAGAGGCTTTTCTGTCTTAAACCCTTCTACCTCTCTTTACATTGTTATATTCATTGACTTCTATTGCTCTATCAAAATTTAAAAAGCTTTGTATATGCTGTAGCCAACATATGAACTATAAATAAAGGTTTAATAAAAATGGATTCAATGAATAATCTCAAATACAAAAGCAAATTTCAACAGATGACACATTAAAGTGTCACTGTTCTGTATGCTGCTTATCTGCCTGACTCATAATGTCACAGAGTGCTTGTTTCTTTGACACAGTGTCACATAAAGCAAACTGTTTCAAATGAATAATGTAACCCGCTTAGCTACCCTCTGCTCCCAGATAATATCCATCTCTCACATCACATCTATGTAAGCGGCCCCTCTCGTGAATAGCTCATACGACGGGCACTTCAGAGCAGCTAATGGGTCACTGTTTGTTTTTCCTTACCATAAAGCTTATTTTTAATGTCATAGGTCATAGAGGTCTTATAAACACACAAAATGAGCTGCATTTTTTTGCAATATCGGAAGCGCTATCTGGACAAACATTGTCCAACAAATCAAGTTTTAGAAATCTAGTGTTATATTTAGAAGCTGTATTTCTTTACACATATACAATGGTTGCTCATCATCTAAATGTATCTGATCCTTAATGCAGCACAGTCGAATTCAATCAAAACACAAAAATACATTGAGGGAAAAAAGGACATTAAGTATACAGACAAAAACATGCATGAGACAGTACATATTAGATAGTTTTATAAAATAAAGTTAGGAATTGTGGAAAGGTTTGAATGTATTACCTGATTTCATGTTGTGTCTCTTACCCATCACAGAGGGATGTTACTGTGGGAGGACTGCACGTACAAAGATTTATTCTGACTACACAGAGACTCCTCCCTTTCAAAAACACCAGGCTTAATGTTTAATCTGTGTGTGAAATTTTGAGCACACATAATTTGTTACGTCTGCTTGTAGACACAAAGTGCAAAACACATAACAAGATCTCACTCCTCGATCTGTCTGAATAAAATCTTATTTTACTCAGAAGGTTACAACTATCTGTGTGTGTGTGTGTGTGTGTGTGTGTGTGTGTGTGTGTGTGTGTGTGTGTGTGTGTGTGTGTGTGTGTGTGTGTGTGTGTGTGTGTGTGTGTGTGTGTGTGTGTGTGTGTGTGTGTGTGTGTGTGTGTGTGTGTGTGTGTGTGTGTGTGTGTGGGTGTGTGTGTGTACGAGCTGTGCTGCGTTCCCATGAGTATTACACCCAACACTGACTGTCCGTGCCAAGGCCAAAGCTCAGTGACAAGTTAGACAAACAGACGAACAATCCGATAAAAATAACAGTGTAGCAGCGGTGTAAATGGAGATCGTTCACTTTAGATTAATTACGAGAAAGAGGCTTGAGGAGTAACGGAATAAATGTAACAGGATAGTGTAATCAGGCTACAAAAATGCTAATTGTATTCCCTTACAAGTGGATTACTACCATGATATACCGTTAGGATATTAAGATACACATACACACACATTTAAAGAATTCACGAACAAGTCTTATAAAAAACACAACTACTCTTGCAGTTTATCAAGTTAATATCAAGTTAACTTAAGTTAAAGCCATCTTATTTATATTTATTTTCTCTTGTAATCATTGTCATTGTATTTGATGTTGAGGCAATCCAAAAGTAATGGAAATGTATCAGGTGACATTACTTTTATATAATACATACACTTTAATTAAAGGTATTATGTCAACAGATTTCACATACAGTAACTGTATGAGGTTAGTTGAAAGCAATAATATCAAGTTTAAATAACAAATATTATGTTCAACTTAATATTTTTGCTTTCAACTTACCTAATAGAGTTATGTGGAATTTGTTTGCATAAAACATTTAAGTCAACGTTTAAGTTTTTTCAGTGTAGATTAGGTTACTGATTATACTTGTTTACAGGTAATAAGCAATTAATTAAAGTAGTTTTAGTTATGTAAATTGTAATCCCTGTAATGCTAATGTATGATGTCCTTTTGTTGTTCTGTTTATGTTTTTAATGTTTCATGTGGAACCTACTTGAGCAGGTCTCCCTTGAAAAAGAGGTCAATGATCTCAATGGGATACAACCTGGATAAATAAAGGTTTGAAATGAAATGAAAGTATGTACTTAAAGTGTTTTAATTGAAACTACTCATTGTGCCGTATAGAATGTTCCCTGCCAGTACAATATCTGATATTTTTGTATGAATATTACTGCGTCTCCAGGCTTGGCTCCTGAGAGGGACAGGCTGAGACAGGGGGGACTGTCTGACAAAGTTATTCAGACTATCCAGGCAGCAAGAGCAGGATCCACCACAGCCTATTACAGGCCAAAGTGGTTGGGATTCCAGCGATGGTGTGAAGAGGGGAGTCTAGAGCCCCTATCTTTTACGATGGGCTCTATTCTGTCCTACTTACAATTACTGGTGGACAGGGGGCTTGCTCATTCCACAATTAAAGTGTATGCAGCAGCCATCTCGTCCTGCCATGAGGGATTTGGCGGCAGGTCAGCCTTCAGTCAGCCGCTTATGTCGCGGTTTTTGCAGGGGGTCAGGAGGCAGCGCCCAGTAGTGCACGCCTCCGCCCCCGCAGTGGGACCTGGTCACAGAACCATTTGAGCCTCTGGAGCTCTCCTCCCTGAAAGCACTGTCATGGAAGACAGCGTTGCTTCTTGCCTTAACTTCGGCCAGGAGAGTGTCAGAGCTGACCGCTCTGTCGGTGCACCCAAGTTGCTTGTTGAGCCGGGGTGACCGTAGCGGGGCGACACTCAGACCGAACCCCTCCTTTGTTCCCAAGAGCCTAGGGAGCTCGTTCAGGTCAAGGGCTATTCAGTTAGGGGGCTTTAATCTTCCACCCCATATTGGGGCCAGGGAGGCTAAATTGCACCTCCTCTGCCCGGTGCGTGAGCTGCATGTTATGTGGAGCGCACGGCTGCCATTAGGCGCACTGAACAACTGTGTGTGTGCTTTGGGGGTGGCGTGGCCGGTAAAGCTCTGTCCAAGAAACGCCTGGCAGGATGGCTCTGCGAGTGCATCTCACATGCCTACGGACAGGCGGGGAGAGCCTTCCCCACGGGGGTCCGTGCACACTCTACACGGGGTATGGCTGTGTCAACAGTCTTATTTAACGGAGTGAGTGTGGAGGACATATGTACGGCAGCTCCTTCATAAGGTTTTATCTCTTGGACATGTCTGGCTCCTTCTCGTCATTTGTGCTTGCTGAGGCAACACAGGACTGGTGAGGGGGGGGGGGGGCCTGGGGGGGCTGTGGGTCAGCAGGTATCTGACCCCCCACTGGACATAGTGCACTTATGTTTTCCCATGCTCCTTAGGGACTCCTTAGGGACTCCTTAGGGACCCGGGAAACATGGTGCGCAGTAAGCCCCGCCTGCCCTCAGGCGGGGAGAGCCTTCCTCACTATTTTCCATGCACACTCTTCACGGGGTAAGCGTGTCTGAGTGTGGGGGGGACGTGGTGCACTTGCGTTCTCCCCATGCTCCTTAGGGACCCGGGAGGCGTGGTGCACGGTAGGCCCCATGCAGGGCTGGGGTCAGCAGGTATCTGACCCCCCCTAGACTTAATGCACTTATGTTTTCCCATGCTCCTTAGGGACCCGGGAGACATGGTGCGCAGTAAGCCCCATACAGGGCTGGGGGGGACTCTGCCTATAGGCAGGCAGGGAGAGTCCCCCCCAGCCCTACGGCCTACATGGCCCTCCTCACTATTTTCCATGCACACTCTTCACGGGGTAAGCGTGTCTGAGTGTGGGGGGGACGTGGTGCACTTGCATTCTCCCCATGCTCCTTAGGGACCCGGGAGGCGTGGTGCACGGTAGGCCCCATGCAGGGCTGGGGTCAGCAGGTATCTGACCCCCCCTGGACTTAATGCACTTATGTTTTCCCATGCTCCTTAGGGACCCGGGAGACATGGTGCGCAGTAAGCCCCATACAGGGCTGGGGGGGACTCTGCCTATAGGCAGGCAGGGAGAGTCCCCCCCCAGCCCTACGGCCTACATGGCCCTCCTCACTATTTTCCAGGCACACTATTCACGAGGTAAGCGTGTCTGAGTGTGCTCTACCAGCCAGGTAACGGGAGTGGCCGCCTTATATACGGTGGGCTTGTGCACGCATTCGGCTAGGCCCGCCCCGGGGGCCGGCTACGGTTATAAATATCTCAGTAAGTGAATGCTCGCATAGTATTGTTGAGAGGTAGTACCCATAGAGTCCAGTAGAGGGCTCCGCCTGTGCTTATATAACTAGGGTTACAATACGTAACTCACCGTTCCAGGAAACTAAGCAACAAGGCATTATGCAATGATATTCCTTAAATAAACACCCTATCATTTTTGACATTTTTGTTGTAAAGACCCAATCCCTTGGGTCATAGCCTCTCGCCTACTTTTGTGTCTCCCATGAACTTGAGTTGCAAAATTGCATGTATGTTTGAGCAAAAATATTTTATGTGGAGAGATGATATTGTGACTAGTAAAGGTTTTTGAGGGAGTGAATGCTGCAATTCAAGGTGAAGTTGTAAAGATAAAAAACGGGCATTACCACCATTGAGAATGGCAAATATTCAGATGCTTATAGGTGTACTGCCTGCATGGATTGGATCACAGGAGACACAGGAGTAGATAGTGCCGCCCTCTGTGAATACGTGGTACTAGAGGCTCAACAGGGGACACAGCAGTATGTACAGAATACTATACTGCCAGAAAAGGACAATAATCCGCTGTCACAAGGACAGATACAGGAAAATATTCCTGCCCACTGCAATAACTCTCTATAACAAATCACCTCTGGCTGGCAGAGAACTGTAAAAATCACACTGTACATTTTACATTTATATTCGATTTAATATTTAATATTCCATGCCTCACATAGTTATGTATATATAATAACTTGTTTTATATTTTGTTACTGTAAATTTGTAATTCAACATATTTTCTACTTTCTTGTTTATTTCTAGTCTTTTAATTGTTATTGTACAATGTCATGTCTTTGTATGCTGCTGCAACACAAACATGTCCCAAATTGGGATCAATAAAGTACTTCTTGTCCTATCTTTTCTCACTACTAAATGAATATGAAAGATGGTTATGGGACTAATGTTCCCCATAAACTTCACCAAAAACATTCAGCTCTAGTTCTATTCTATAGTTCTATTGCATCTTTGTGTGTACATTTGTATAATATTGTCACATATTATGAAGTGTCTTTGAGTATTTGGAAAAGCACTGTATAAATGAAACACATTAATAAAAGGACCAATTAAAATTGCTCGATGCTGCTTGATGGTCTGAGCATGCTTACATTCTGGAGATTTTTTGCACACTTGCACTGGTGATTTCTTTTGGGGGAGTTTCATAATCGGTGCAAGCAAAATGGCTCTATAGCGCCCCCTACACATTTGCTAAACAGCTGCTCGTTGTGCTTTCACCTACAAGTCTGAAATTGGGGAGATCCTTATCTATAAAGTCAAAGTCCCAAAAAATATATGAATGTGTACTTCTACTGTATCTAAGATATATTTTTTAAATCAATTTAAGTGGACCAATGCATTTTGGTATTGTTGTAATATTTACACTAAACATATTTTATTGAGATGTTTCACTCATCAAGATAAAGTGATTTAAATTTCCTTACAAATGTCTGCATTTAAGAATTGAAGAATTAAGATATTTTTCGATTTCTTTTTTTTCTTTCTTTTTTCTGTCTAATTAGCATTATTATTGTTATTATTAATATCATTATTATTGTTATTATTATTGTTGTTGTTGTCAATTATAGCTACACTCGTGACATGAAAATAGAAGACCTTAGCATTTTAATTTAAATGGTATATTTTAAAGCCAATAACTTGTAATTGAGGACTCCATCCACTAGATGGCATCAACGTGCAAATCAAATATCTATGCACCTATCAATCATTAATAATGAATAACACATTATATTAATTATACTTAAAAATGTGAAAACTGTATCTGTTGATAGTTAATCATAGTCTAAAGTACGGTTTAGCAAAATGTCAATCTCTATTAGTATATGTTTATTTTGGGGCGAAACTGGACTGTTGTAGGTTCTGGGTTTATTACAATGAGGACAGCTGACTCCTACATGCATGTAACCAAAGTGCAAAGACAGCACCATGTCCTTGCATCAAATGTATTTGATTTCATTGGTCCATCGTCTGAATACCATTCTTCCTCTTGCTGGCGAGGTTCAAAGGCCCATGCACAGTCAATTAGTAACTTTACCTTGGCTGAGTTTCAAAGGTTAGACTACAAAATACTGTGGGTTTGTGAAATGTAATGAAAACCTAAATGAGCCAAGAGGAATAACTGTGCAAGCATTATTTAGCATGTGTTTAAAAGTTGAACTTAGACAGACAACATATTGACAAGTTTACAAGAGTGATGGTAACATAATTTGACAAGAAACAAGGGAGTTGCTAAATATCAGAGGGATTTAAAAGAGAAATTACAGAAAGCGTAGACTGAAAAAACTGTAATTTATATTAAGTTGAACCTAATATTTTCTTTTGAAACTGAATGTTATCGCTTTCAACTAACCTAATACAGTTATATGAAATCTATTGACAAAATACATTTAATTAAAGTCACCGTTTCTGTTTTTTCAGTGTATGTATGTTTGTGTAGTGACATTCCTCTTCCCTCTGCCTTTTAAAAGGGGACATGGGAGGATGAGAAAATGTAAATGTATCTTTATTTATAAATCAGAAACAGATCAGTCAGGATAGATCATCACACACAATTAAAAAGCTTTCAAAACAAATACAGAATACAAAAATGAAATAAATAGCTGTAATGGAACACTTTGAAACGTTGAAATTGCTGATACATGGTTTTATCAGGGAAATTATCTGAAAACCACAACACACACCAATGATTTCACCAATGGCACAAACAAAGGAAAATCCATTCCTGACCCATTATTATTGATATCACTCTCCCTACTTTAATAAATGGACAGTTTAGCTTGTGACACTACGAAATCAAAAGCTTTAACTTTGTTATCTTCATCTTTCTTCTTGTTTCCAGCAACAAAGAGAAACCTTTCACAATTACAGTGTGAGAACACATTTGTCAAGGCTTCAAATCGTATTGTGTGTATTATGTAGCAATGATGAAGGATGGCTGACAAAAACTTTTTTTTGGATTTTGGAATTGAAAATGAAAGAGAAGAAAAGAGACGAGAGAGTATAAGAGAAGAGAGTATAAGGGAGAAGAGAAGAGCCAATAGGGCTTCTATGGGACTTTTCAATCCTGGATCCGGATCCAAATGTCAGTCCCGCCCAGTCATCCCTGATGGGATCCTCCCAGCCACAGGAAGACACGGAGCTCCCATCTGTGCCTAAACCCCTGCCAAAGCACTGGAGTGTACTACCGGTCACAAATCTGTAAAGGAGACAGTTACCTTTTGTAAGCATGATCCCAGTTGCAGCACATTCCTCAAGTCGAAGCATGGTTGCTCTTCAGTTACTTGACTCCAGTCATCGGTGAGCTGCAGGAGAAGACATCAATTGCATAAAGATGGGGACATCTTTTTAGAGAGTCTACTAGAAAAGACAAGGGCATAAGGCTGCAGAACCACTATCCAGCGCTGCCCTTCATTTTGCATGGAGCCTGGGGCTAATCTCAGCATCGGCAGGCCTGTGTGTCATCCTTGCGGAGAGTCCAAAGGCCACTCTTTTATCGTGACACACATGGCTTCTCTGTGTCGTTTCCTCGGCCTGTGATTCCATGGCAACAGCAGCGTGAATGGTCTATTCAGGACAGCCTTCATTACACCCTCTGCCACCTCCTGATAGGATAGATCAGCAAACAAATTGCATGGTTTGGTCCAGGTTTATAGGCTTGGTCCCAGGTGTAAATGTGAAAACGTTTGGATTTGATTTTAAGGAGAAGAGAATAGGGAAACTGCTGTGTATGCTCCATGCAATCCTATGTCATCTCAAACGTGACTGGTGTCCTATATGAATCTTATTCATTATTGCTATGGAGTGCAAAAGCATTCATCCTTTCATTTGACTCAGAAATACATTCACGTAAAACCTTAATTTGTACAAAAATATTGTAAATACACTCTAGATTTCATCATCATCATTATATTCCCTACCCCCAGCACTTCCCCTTAATGTTCGATTGTGAAATATTTTAGATTGTTTTTTCTTTGTTTCTTTTTTTGAGTAGCTTTGGCCAGAACATCATTCTGGATGCATCACAGTGCACATTATTTTTGAATTCTGAGGCTCTTGGGACCGTACGGTGTTATGACAACACAGAAAGTTACATCATTTGGAGCCCAATTCATGCATGTTTTTCAAATAACTTAGTTATTTGTCTGTATGAATCTGTGATAACGTTTCCGAATGCACATGGACACTCTCATTTGGAAAATCAGCTGATTAAAGCCTATAATTGTATTGGAGTTGGACATTGTCCATGAACAATAAAACACTGATGTTATACTCCTAATATATTTTGAGCCATCTCATCTGTTGTAGTTTATGTTCATGTCATGTATCCTCAAAACCCACTGAACAATGCACAAACAGCTTACAGTATATTGTTGGCATCTATCGATTGTTGGCTGTAATTTATATACTAATGTTTTTTCAACACAAGGATTGATTAATTTGTTTTCATTATTTATTATAATATAAAACATCATATATAATGAAACATTGAGTAAAAGATAAATGTATTCTAGTCATATCATGTCTCCTTACCCATCATGGAGTCAGAAACCATTACATCTTCTCAGATGACTATGAAATGGTCACTTTATTAAATATGGCTCTATTTTCTCTGTGTCTCTACATCAAGGTGTGTGGATCTTACTGCATTACCCAGGCAAAATTATATTTGATTGACAAGTGCCATGTTCTCATTTTCCTGCTAATACTATTTGTTTTCGGAAGTAATAATTGCTGGCTCAGCAGAATGACATCTCTGCAAAAGGTCAGCTTTTTTGAGGAACGGTTTTCCAAGCTGTCCGTTTTACATTGAGCAATAAAGTTACATCCTCTGCCAACATAAATTGTGGATGTAAAAAAGGGAAATGATCACTGGGTCCACACTCCACCCAACACTTATTGCATGATTCTGACTCAAACCCACTTTTGAGTGAATAAAAGGGGATATGTATTGTTTAGCATGTATTTTTTCTTTCTTTGATTTTCTCAAGAAAATTACTAAACAGGTGCTTTTCAAAGTCAAAAGTCAAAGTCAACTTTATTGTCAATATTTCTTTTTTTGTGATACAGACAGGGACATCCAAATGCTGTTTATCACAATCCCGAGGAATACAATTAAAATATATCAAAACATATATATATACATATATTCTTTTATATAAGAAAACTAATTAACATTACATTGTAGTGTAATAAGGATATTATAATATGTCAAAAGTACATATTTTGCTCAAATGGCATCATATTTGATGAATGAAAATGTAATAATGTTAAAACAAGTAGAACAACTATGCCCGTAAGAACCTGTCTGTGCATCTACTTGTGTCATGAAAACAGTTAACATAAATGCTGCAGTATATGTCATGGTAGATTACAAAACAAATTCTGCCAGCACAAGTTTATGTACGTATAAAGGGTTTGTCAGCAATGTGTTTCCTCATCATAAGAGTAGGTTTAAGATCACTCTTTTGATGTTAATTGTGGTTATTTTCATGTGATGTCTAACAGAAGGCAAGTAAAGGGTTATTTATGATCATATGATAGTACAGATATGGAGCACACTGACTGGACATAAATCCTTATTTAAATTCAATTAATGTTGCATATCAGTTTATTGACTACAATATAAACTTGAATCTCTTGCTTGAGGTGAGAGTGTTCTGATTGGCTGAGAGGAACAAGTGTACAACACGTAGGACTGACGTTAATTTACAAAGACGAATGATGTGGCAAAAATCAAAGGGCGAATAGAAAGAAGTAGTTCCACTTTAAGATGTATTTTTATTTATTGTATGTCTAAGTCAGGTGCCGCTGTTTTATGTCCCACCTATAATAACAAATGATCGATAAATATGATTGAATGTATCAAAGAAATAGTCATTATAAACGCCATGGTGCACTTTAAAAAAAAGTGTAGCTCCATATTCATCCGCCTCATTGAGTGGACTTCCATTTCCGGGATGTTTTCTCTGCAGACCAACCTCCACCGCCATTGCAGGTCCAAGGAGTCGGTGTAGCGGCAGTCAGTTGTTAGCCAGGGGAAGCCCGCAAGTAAACAGTTTAGGGACGAATAAAGAAAGTAGCACCACACCGACAGCACGTTTGACACCAGGTTTAGATTTTTTTTCATTTGGACTTTAGACCAGCGGCCCCCTGGCTGTCCGGCTAGGATCAGAGAGAAGAAGCCGTAGTTT